GGAGAGTCCCTTGCTCCCATGGCAGGGATGGAGAGAGTCCCCAGCTGAGTAACTTCAGCCCACTGTGGTCACTCAAAAACTCTCTTTGGGTTATTTCTTCAGGCTGGTGTGATAGAAAAGCACAGCTGCCTTGGGACCAGGGTCTGATGTGCTTTAGCCTTTTCACAGGACAGGACAAAGCAAATAAAGATGAGCATGGACAGGATTTCACAGGTGGAACTGAAGTGGATGTTAAATTAGCATCTTCCAGTTGTTTATTTGGGTTTCTGGGACTCTGACAAGGCATTTTCTTGTCAGGAAAGCAGTCGAGCATTAAAAGACTGAGTTGTGATAGTGTCAATGTAGCGTTTTGTGTGTGAACATTTTATATCTATTAGTATTAGGAGGAAATTCTTCCCTGTGAGGGTGGTGTGGCACTGGCACAGATTGCCCAGAGAAGCTGTGGAAGTGTTCAGGGTGAGGTTGGGTGGGGATGGAGCAACCTGGCTTGGTGAAGTTGTCCCTGCCCACAGCACAGGGGTTGGAACAAGATGATCTTTTAGGCCCCTTCCAACCCAAAGTAGTCCATGATTTCTTTTCCTATTCAAACTGGAAGAAAAGTCCCACTGATGAATTAGGCACTGAAGAGAGAGGCTGTGGATGTTAGGAGTGGGATGGCAGGAGGAGCAGAGAAGGAATCATATGGAGAGTTGCTATTAGAATCTGTTAGCTGCTGGAAGGGCCAGCAGGAAGCATTTGTGAATGTTTGTCCTGATCTGTGTGTGTAGTAAGGAAGAAAAGGATTCCCTGCCTGGTTGTGCTCTGCCTCTGTTCACAGGGAGCTTCTGTGGAAATTCCTGTTTAGCCACACAGGGAGGGAACAAATCCTGCAGAATCCCTCGTGGGAGGGATATTGGTGTGAGATTACTGAGGGTCGTGGGCAGGAGAAGGACTGAGCTTTGTGTTTGCACACCTGAAAGGCTGTTTTCTCACATATCATTGTGGTTGCAGTTAAGGTGAGTGGGTTGTTTTGGAAATTCATACTAAGATCTGATGTGTAATAAAATGCAGTTACAGTGGGCTGAATATTCTCAAGTGGAGCAAAGGTATAATAGCAGCTTTTTTTTTTAACCTAGGATTTCTAGCATACTTGAAAGCATAAATATAAGCTTGTTCCTCTTGGTAAACACTTGAAAAGAAGTAGAAATTCCAATAAATGCATATATGAATCACAGAAGTTTTCTTGAGTGTCATTGTTATTCCTTTGTTGTATTTACATTTTCACCTCTTTTTATAGGCAATTGCTGGTTACTTTGATGTATTTTTTGAGAAGAACTGCCATAACAAGGTGAGCATTTGGAGTTATGCATTTTAAAAATGTCTTTGAGAGATGAAGATTTTATTTTGTGTCAAGGTGTTTGGCAGTGAGTCTGTTTTGCTGTAGCAAAGACTGCATTTGCATCTGTGTTTGGTAATTGATTGATGTGGTGTGATATGAAAAAGATTTGTTTTTAATCAAACTCTTGAACTCTCCCATTGCAGGTCTTATTTTCAACGGGTCCCCAGTGTACCAAAACACACTGGAAACAGACAATTTTTCTCCTGGAGAAGCCAATTCCTGTAGAAGCAGGTATATTTAAATTCAGTTGAGGTGCAACAACAGTTGTGTTACAGTGCTGTTACCATTAAAGCTAGATACAAAATACTTCAGAAATTACATAAATTTCAAGTTCAAGAAGATCTAGTAAATAAATCTTTCAGCTGCTGTTAAAGGAATTTTTTTGTCTCATCAAACCTGGGAAGTTTCTGCGTACAAAATTCTGGTTTAAAATTATACATAAATATATGCATGAGTATCTTGCCAGTGGGCATATCTCCTATACTTGTATAGCTACATACTGGAATTTTGGTGAGGAAAGTTCTGTATCAGAGCATTTCTGATGCAGAACAATGTAAGACCAGAACACTGCTATGGATGTTCTCTTAATTTTGACATTACTAATATTCTGAAGTATCAAATTTGTCAAGTGGTTGGTTGTACAGGATTCCTTGTAGCCCTCCTGAAGTGTCCTGTATTTAAAGGGATCATGAATATATGCATGGGTTGTATCTGCCACAGTGGGGTTATTCTGGAAAATGAAAACACTTCTAAAGAACTCACAGCCATGAACTTGAAGTATTGAATAGCTTTGCTTGGTACACTGTAAAGTTCTATAAAATGGTTAAGTACTGTGATAAGTTTCACCTTGAATTTGATGCAAGTAGAAGGATTTTCATTGTCATCAGGGATAAGCAAAATTCAGATGACAAACTGTTGAGGTGAGGTTTTGAAAACTATAAAGTGATGCTTGTTAGTGGTTTAATTAGTTCTGTTCTTGAGGTCTTGAAAGCACATTTTGTACAAGTAGTCAAATACTCCTTGCTTTATAGCAAGGACACAAGTATATCCATGACTCTCATTGAATGGCCATGCAAGAGGATGGACGTGCCACAGATGAGCAGACCTTAACCTCTTATTCCTGTAGAGCTTTCTTTCAGACTCTCACAGACTTTTTACAATGCAAGGAAATGGAGCAGTTACATTTTCATGCTGTTATTTTATTTGTGTCCATTTGGCCACCAGATATTTACTGTTGAACTCTCACCCAGTGATGAATCAGTTGTCTTTGGGAGCCCCTTTGCTTTACACACTAGCAGAACCAAAGGAGGAGCCTCAGAATGGGGCTCATTTTTGCTGGGCAGCTAATAAACTCATGGTAATGTGAGGCCCTGACCTGAGCAGTTTGTAAATAGATCAGGCAGATTGGGGGGAAAGGATAGAAAATGTTGTGTGGATGCTTCTGCACTCAATTGAACTGTAAAGTTCCCTCTTCAGCTACCAGACATGACAACTTTTTGCCAGAAGCTTCTTTCCTAGAGGCACTGAGGTTTGTGATACCTGACATATCACTTCTGTCTTTCATGCTTTGAATTTTTATTCTTAAACAGTTTTTATTTGCACTTTAAATCCTTTCATTTCTTGGGGTGCACCCATGCTTTGGTGCATTTGTACTTGGCTTGTGCTCTCTGCAGATTCTCTTTCTAGACAAGCCTGACTAAGATCTCCTTGCTGCTGCTCATTAAATCTCAATGTCATAGAGTGGTTTTTAAAAAGTGCAGTGACATTTATTAAAATATGCACATTATTTCATATTACAGAGATCATTTGACATTTTTCAACTGTGTGAAATTACTGGAGGTGTGCCCCAGCCTAGGTGTGGTGACTTTCTGAAGGCAACTGCAGAAACACTGTGCCCTGCTTGTGTGAACCCAACCAACCTGACCTTCACGATCACTTGTGCTGTAACTCCTTCCTTCCTTTTTATTAGCTCGTATTTCTTAACATTATTCCCATAACAAATCTTGCTACAGCTGTTTCTCTTTCTTGCTGCCTGACTCCTTCTCTTTGTAATTGAATTCCCTTTTCCCATCCTTTTGCCCGTTCTGTCTGGTTTTCTATCTTACATGAAATTACCACTTACATCTAGGATTGTCTGCCTTTTGCTTCTAGTGTTGAAGAAGATTGGGAGAAACTCCTGATGTAATTTCCTTTTCTTTTGTAATCCCAGTCTTATTTTCTGTAGGATATTTGTTGGTTCTTGATGACATAAGCCCATGCAGAAGGTGCTTCCTGGTACTTACATAGGAATGTATGTTAATTTACATGATTTTTCTGGAAAAACCATTCCCTCTCTTGATCGCTTGACTTTGATCCTTCTCCTTCATTGTCCCAAAAATCTTTCTGCTCGAGACATGTTGTTGTGAGTACAGATTTCCCTATCTTCCTTTTTTATATTCTTCTCTTTGTCTAAATAGTGACTTGAATATTCGTCTTGATAATTTGTCATTAGCCAAATTTTTTTGTTTCTTCAGTCTTTCCATTTTCTCAGCTAAACAAACTGTTCAAGCTCATTTTGCGGCCTATTTCAACATGCACTTCCAGCTGTTTCTCTTGTTAATGAATTAGCACTGCTTGTTAGCACTCCTCATTGAGCCTGAGCTGCACTGTGAGTGCCCTGAGCTTTTTGGGAAGCCTTGTCTTAAGAAGGGCTTTCCTCAGTGCACATGAACTGGAAGCAAAAGTAACTGTATTAGGTTAAACATATTTTTGCATCATTTGAAGCCTTTCCATCTATCTCTGTGTTTACTGATGTTCATCAGCCCTCTGCAGAAATTCTTAGATTCAGAAATACTTTATGGCAGAGGAGCATCAAGGAAGATGCACTTTTGACTAAATATATTCTAGAATCATTAAGGTTGGAAAAGAGCTTTAGGATCATTGAGTCAAGTTGTTAACCCAGCACTTCCAAGGACACCACTGCTAGAGCCTGAATGAGAGATGTGGGACTCCAGGGGCCTCCAAAATGCAGTTTGTTGTATCCAAGAGTTACAGCAGTCCAGGGTTGTGGGGGACAGAGCTGTGCCTACAGCTGTCAGCTCCAGCTGCAGGCAGGCCTGGAGACCCTTTGGTTTTGGTTACAATGCATTATAGACTTTTCTTTTGGTTACATTGCATTTTATACTTTTCTTTAGGTTACAATGCATTGTAGACTTTTCTTTGCTGAGCATCTTCATACAGCAGAACCAATCTACACCTTAACTATTATCTATAGCCCATTATAACTGCTATAATTACCA